CAGGACCCAGAGGCAGTCACCAGCGCCTGGGGAGGTAAGCAGAAAACATTAACCCTCTCTTCCTGCCTCCAGGTGGAACTGGAAAGGCGTGGTTGCCACTGGGGTGCTCAAGGACTTCTGTTTCCGTGGGTTGCAGCTTTCTGTGTCCTGTGTAAGGGGATTTTTCCATTGATTTATCCATTTTTTGCTAAAATAACACTTACGAAGGAGATTGGTCCTTAGAATAATTCTGCTGGTGCTCTAAGTACTACAGGCCAAGCAAACCCATGAATGGCAGGGCTGCCTTTTCTCGCTCGTGGGGGCTCTGTTATCATCTTAGATGCGACCGGGCAGCTACCTCGAATTGAGAGCTTGAAACAGGCAGGGAAGGGGAGCTAGCATTGGGAGGAATATTGAATCATTCACCTCTGTTACTCTTATGAATAAGCTTATCACTAAATGCTATAAAGCCTCACCCTTCTCAGCCCTCTCCTGGAGACAGCGCAGATCAGTCATGTAAATCCCAATAATTAACTAAGTGTTGAGGAGCTAAGCAACCACCCAGAAGATATGACCCTCTTGCCATTATTTTTCTGTGAAGCTTAAATTCATAAAATATTTCAAGGCAAGCATTCCAGAAAAGTTTCACTCTTCCTAATGATAGATAGATGCTAAAAGGATTCCTGAAGTCACTTGTTTCACTAGCAACAAATACGATGCCACACCCCTAAAGGAACAGTCCCACCTCCTGATGCACAAGGCACACTGTGAATAAACAAATCTACAGGATCTATTATGAAGATAAGCCTGTGATCCACTAACAAATGTGCTCTACCCAGAAGGGCTGGCCTGTGTTGCCATGAGCTCTGTTTCCCCAGACACATGCAGTTGGGGACACATGCGGTTTATCCCTACGGGCACCCCACACCCAGGCAGGTCCTGGTCCACCCAGAGAGATGGAGAAGGGCCCTCACGTGACAGCTCCTCTCCTGTTACGGCTGCATCTAGATGCCCCCAGAGCCTCGTGCGGTCACAGGTGGGGCTCTTTGAGAGGTGGCTGGACCTGAGTGTGTGACCCTGGGATTGATACATGGTGCAGTGCTAGGATCACTAAGATTAAGGGTGTGAGTGCTGCCCAACCTAAGTAGCCTGGATAAGATATAAGGGACAGAAAGAGCTGTGGTCGCCCCTTGTTGCTTTGCTATCTTCTGCCTGCCATGAACTGTTTCTCCTCTGTGATGCCACCCTGCCTTGGAGCCAGCTGACTATGGACTGAAACCTGTACAAACTGTGAGCCAAATAAACCTTTCCTCCTTTAACTTGGGTGTCAGGTATTTTGTCCCATCAACAAGAAGAGTAACTAAGACACCTTCCAATGCAAGAGATCATTTTACTTTTCCTTTCCAAGTAACCTGGGATGGTGACACAGCTCTCAAAGCTGGCACTGCTACAAACTTGCAGGGAAACTCTTCTCTGTTGCCTGTCTGCAGTCTCTGGGGACAGGGTGACCTGTGGCAGGCACATTGTTTAATTCCACTGCCACTCCACAGTGATGTCAACAATTTCCCATGCTAGGCCATTGCAGGTGAGAATTGCTAGTTTCCTCCGTGTGTGTGTGTGTGTGTGTGTGTGTGTGTGTATGGTATTGAGCACTGAGCTCTTTCCTATTTTTATTGTGAGACAGGGTCTCTCTAAGTCACTAAGTTGTCCAGTCTGGGCTCAAACTTGCAGTCCTCCTGCTTCAGCCTCCCAGAGTGCTAGGATGATAGGCATGCACTGCCACACTTGGCTCTGTTAACATATTTAATGGGTTTGTCCCAGGGGTGTTACTATCAGTGTGCAAATCTGGACTTTAACCACCCGAACCATTCTTATTGTTCTAATTTAAAGAGCAAAAAACCAAGGCTCACAGAGCTAAGCGATGGACCGAAGCCCTGGGCCTCCCAAGGCAAAGGATCAGGATGCAGCCCCATCCAAGGTGAAGCTCATGCCCTCTCAACTGCAGCTGCTCTCTGACCAGCAGGTCCAGCACGAGTTTGTCCAGCAGCCAGCAGTGCCATGAACCAGGCTGTGCATGGCTGGTGTAGAAGGCAGTGGAGACCCACAAGCCACACATGGAGAGGATAGCAGAACACAGCAGGACAAGGAGGAGGGCCCAGGACAGCACTGGACCAGCAGCCTGGCCAATCAGCCTTCCCGGGAAGTGGCCTTGGTGACAGGACTTGGGGGCGAGGGGGACCAGAACCAGCTGCTCACCTCAGAGGCAACAGCTCAGCAACCTAGCTCCAGAAAGCACCCCATATCCGGCTTCCCAGCAGCTCCATGCGGCCACGCTGCTCTACTATAAAGGGAGAGATGCAGGGGGACCAACCGAGTCCCTGGCCCCAGGACCCGGGGCACAGAGCGGCACACACTGAGGCTGGCGCTAGGGAGCCTGGCTTGTCATCAGAAGCCCGGGCTCTAGTGTAGGTCTCGGGCCCAGCTGCGACTTGGGCAAATGGTTTGTGTGGGCTCAGCTTCATCAGCCTTCAGAAGGGTTAACAGCCAGAGGTGCTGAACATCCTTCATGCACTGCTGGGCTGTTTGTACCCTTTCTCCTGAGAAGTGTTCATTCCTTTCAGTTGCTCCTGTTTTCACTGGGTCTTTTTCCCGAAAGAGGTAAAGATAGCACATTTCAGCACACCCATGTTTATAGCAGCACAACTCACAATAGCTAAATCGTGGAAGTGGCCTATGTGTCCATCAACAGATGAATGGATAGAAAAAATGGGATTTATACACAACGGAGTACTACTCTGCCATAAAGAAGGGTAACTTGAGTCATTTGTAGGAAAATGGATGCACCTCAAGACGACCTGCTATGTGAAATAAATCAGACACAAGTTTATATATCGCATGGTTTCTTTTATATGAGCAACCCAAAATACAAAGAGTGAAATAAAAGATAGACAAGAGGAAATAGGGAGACAGATCTTTTTGCAAAAGAGAGGGGACCAAAGATGGAGGGATAGGAAGAGAGGGGAGGGAAGGAAGATGCGCACCAACTCCCCACAATGAATGCGGTCATTAGGTGCTGCAAATACGGGCTCACAAAAATAAAAATTGAAAATACCAGCCAAGCAAAATGATAGCAAGCAAACAAAAAGTTGAAACAGTAAGTTAGAGAATTTTGGGGAATCCGATGCCTTCCAAGCGGTCTGTAATGCTATGAATCTTTCTGTGTGTCACCGTCTCTCAGGATACCACTGACTTGGGACTTTGGGAGCCCGGCCTTCTATCCCTGAGGACGCCTGAGCCCTCTCCCCATGTGCAGAGTCCTGAGGTGTTCCAGGAGGATGGGCTCCTTCGTGGACACCAGAATTCAAAGTCACCCAATTTTCTCAGTTAAAATGGTGAAGTGTTTGTATCTAATCTATGCACACCATCCTGCATACTTTAACCCATCTCCAGACTGCTGATAACAGCAGACAGCACACAAACTGTATGCGAATAACAGCTGGACTGCACTGTTTGGGGAATGGACAGGGAAGATAAATCTGTACGTGTCATATAGGTACAATTTTCTTTTGTATTTTCAAACTACAGTCTGTTGACTCCACAGATGCAGGACTTGCAAATATGGTGACCAAACTAAACATTTCTCCTATGCATACTGTACATACCTAAGACAATGTTTAAGTTAAAAATTAAGACACATACAAAAAAATTAAGACAGCAAAATATTATCAATAACTAATAACAAAATAGAAAAACTATAATTGTACATTGTAATAAAAGTTGTGTGAAGGCAATTTTGGTCTCTCAAAATAGCTTACTGTCCTGTAGCATTTGTTTCTTTGTCTGTTTTGAAGAACTGGGGATGGAACCCAGGGCCTTTGTCCTGAGCTACATCTCCAGTGCCTTGTGATCTTGAAATAGTGTCTCACTAAGTTGCTAAGTTCCCCAGGCTGGGCTCAAATTTGCCATCCTCTTGCCTCAGCCTCCCACAGAGCTGTGATCACAAGTGTGTGCCACCACACCTGGGTGTGTGTGCTGTGGATGACCTGCCCATGGCTGGTCACATGGAAAAGGGCCTGTTCTCTTGAGTCTCCAACCCAGAGGTGGGTTTTCCACCACTACGTCCACTCAAAACACAGCTGAGTGAGCAGAGTTCGACTTCCTGAGAACTGCCGTATTTTGAACTCTGTTATTCAATGTTTCTAGTGTCAGTTACTAGTGAAGAAACACAAACAGGCACTACTATTACTCCTGAAACTGGTGAATGAGAGAAACTGCTCCAAAATTCTTTCTCGATTTTTGTTTTGTACCGGGGATTGGACTCAGGCAGCAGCACCACTGAGCTAAATCCCTGGCCCTTTTCAGATTATTTTTTACTTTAGTTTGCAGCACGTGATTTAAAAGAATCTGAAGCACTTTCTATAGATAATAGCAATGTAAACAAAAAATCAACTTCAACTCCACCGAGGCCTGAGGACCCACAGGGGGCCATCTCCTGGCCTGGGGGAGGTCCTGGAATCTCAGTCCTGGTGTCTGGGTGCTGGGAGGGACCACAGGAGTGGGTGGGCTGCTTGGGATGGCAGGAGTCCACAGTGAAGGAGTGGGTATCGCCGGGCCAAGCGAGGAAATACCACCGGCCAGCCATCCAGTACTGAAGCTGGGACATCGAATGATGCTGGATTAGACGCCAGAGCTCTCAAATGTAAGAATGCTATTCCCTAAGTTGGGCATGGCAATGCATATCTGTAGTCCCTATACTCTGGAGCCTGAGGCGGGAGGATTGCCATGAGTTCAAGGCCACCCTGCACTACACAGGGAGGCCCTGTCTCAAAAATAAATGCAATTTCCCATAAACCGTAGTCACCTGTCAGGGGTGTTAAATTCAGTGCTTGGCTTCCCTTGTTTCTGATACTAATCAGGATTCTGAAACCATAGAAATCCCACGCCTTTACCCACAACTCTTCCCTGAGGCAGAGTGGCCCTGAAAACATCGCCCACAGAGCATGCTCCGGGTCCCTCGGTACCTCTTCCAAGGTGGGGGCTGAGACCCTGTAGCCTGTGAGCTGCAGAGGCTGCAGGTTCTGGTCCAGGGCCTGGAAGAGCCCCTTGAAGCAGGCCTCATCCACATCCTGCGGGATGGCGTAGGTCAGCTGGTGCCCACTCCTGCCTCTGAGGACGGCTTGAGGAATGTAGACCTGGATCAGGGCTGTGAGGTGAGCTGTGTACTTGGGATCATCGGCCTCTGGCGACGAGAGCTGTCAGAAGAAAACCAAGTGAGCACCGGGAAGCTCAGTGCAAACCACACCAACAAATGTCACGCGTGCTCATGAGCGAGTTACTGCAGAATTCCACTGCAAAACTTGAGTGCAACACTGCGTTTAGGGAGCAAGCATTCCAATGATACGTTATATATTTTCCCCTCTTCCTCCTTTTATTTGTGATGTGTACAGCACTGGGTGTTGAGTCTGGGACCTCCACACTGAGCTACATCCCAACTCTGAGTCAGGGTCTCATTAAGTTGCCCAGGCTGGGCTCAAATTTGTGATCTTCCTGCCTCAGCCTCCCCGAGTACTAGGATGACAGGTGTGTGCCACCACACCCAGTATCTTCTTTTTTAAAAAAATATAAATCCACAACACTGAACCTGGCCAGGCCAGACCCTATGACCATCTCAGTTACAAGCACACTGAAGCAGCTTCCAGGGCTCTGTGTTCCTGAGCTGCCCTCAAATCCTAGCCCTCAGCTGGGAGGAAACAGCATGGAGACTTCATACAAGGGAGACAAGGTCTCCCACCTGAAGAGGAAACAAATTGGAACCATGGCCAGAGGGGCTGTTACAGTTTAGATCGGAAATGTCCCCCAGATGCTCCCATCTCCCCCTCCCACCCCTCTCTCTCTCTCTCTCTGTTTCCCAGATGCCATGAAATAAGCAGCTTTGCTCCACTACAGCCTTCTACCATATTTCTGCCCTGGAGCAGCCAACCATGGTCTGAACTCTCTGAACCATGAGCCAAAATAAACCTCTCCTTCTTGAAGTTGTGTATTCCAGGTATTTTGGTTGCAGCAACAAGATGCTGCCCAACACAGAGCTCAAAGGCAGATGCTCTGAGACTCACCAAGGTCAGACACCATCATCCAGAGCTGGGAGGTGACTCATAAACCCCTGACCCAAGCCCACAGTTGCCATCACCTGTCTCTGTGAATACCAGGCAATGATGACTCCAAATGCGGCATAGGTGCAGCCTTCTAGGTTGTGGCCATCACTGCTCTAGCCCCTCACTACTCTGCTTGTCTTGTGGCAAAGTTGTGGCTTCCTAATGAGTACGGTCCTCAGGCTCAATGCTTCCAGAATCCCATGTCCATCGTACTTTCTGGGAGCTGGCACTGACAAGTCATTCTGATGCCACACGCATTTCCTTCTAGAGTCAAAATGCACCGTGGGATCCAAAGCCACCGCCCTTGGCCCTGGGGAGGAAACGCTTTGACACAGGGGCCCCTGTGCATGACAGGGCCCCTCGGGTCTGTCAGGAGGGAGGGAAGGGAGCTCCCTCCACAGTGGAACTGCAGGGCAGGTGAGCTCTGTACCTGCTTGGCCAGTGTCAAGCTGAGGCCCTGGCCGTACATCTCCTTCAGGCAGACGGGAGACCCACAGCACCTGAGCCGGCCCTGCTGGAGGATGGCCATGCGGTCACTGAGCAGCTCCGCCTCATCCAGGTGGTGGGTTGTGAAGATGATCGTGCGGCCTGGGTGCGAAAAAGCACAGGGGACATCAGAACCAACATCTGTCCTTCTTCACACACTGAGAGATGGCCACCAATTTTGTGTGTGTTTGTTAGTTGTTTTTCTTTGAGACAGCCTTGCTATGTACTGCAGGCTGGCTTCCAACTTGACATCCTCCTGCTTCAGCCTCCTGAACACTGGATTTACAGGCATGGGCGCCCACATCAGGCTTTCACCATCAATTTTTAAGTGAGAAAACCTGAAAGGGGCACTGTGGGAAGACTCAGCCAAGGCCACCTTGCAAATCAGCAGCCTTGGAACTCCTTCCCCTGCAGCGTCCCCAAAGCTCCCCACGGCTGCTTGCACAAACCCTCCCTCCCTGCTTGCCCAGGGCGTTCTTGGCCAGGCCCTGGGGGTGAGACAGAGATGCAAAAGCCGAAGGCCCTGTGTCCAGCAACCTTGTTCTCTGGAAGTAGAGGCAGGCAGGTCACTGCACTAGTGTAGAGAGGACACAGACACTTTTAGACAGTTGGGCTGGGCATCTGTGTCTCCTCCAACCAGATGACTGTCATCGCCTGCACACTCCAGGACACGGCCACATCCTACAGAAGTGCCACCTTGTAAGACAGCCCAAGCCCCGTGTTAGGCAGAGAGGAGTCTAAGGAATTTTCGGATGGGGGAACACAGGAGGGTGTGCAGGGGAAGGGGAAGTGGAAACAATGAAGATACTATATTTGCATGTACTGATTCCCTAAGATGAATCGAATTGTTATGTATCACAAACATATACAGACAAAGCATAAACAAAAAAAAATCACTTGGAGCAAAACAAGATGTCAAGTAATATTTAGATTCTTATGCAATTAATAGATTCAACTACTGTCATTTTAATGCAATGCAAATATTATTAACCCTTCTGAAACAAGCAGGATTTAATGTGTACATTAAAATACTGAGGAAAACTTTTTTTTCTTTTTATATAGTATATATTTTGTTACTTTATGCTAATACAGTCTCATATTACAAAGGCAATTTAGTGGAAGAATTTTCCTTTTGATATTTGAGTCGTGACCACAAACAGAACTATACATTTTTTAAAAAATGTGTGTAGATAACAACAACAAGAAGACAAGTTAAAACAACAAGAAAATGATTGTCCTTTTTTACAGGTAGACACTGAAGTGGACCTAATTTGGTTTTCTTTTTAAAAGCCTCCAAAGACAAAAAGCAGCTTAAAATCTAAGATGAATTAAAAGAAAAAATTGGTTACTAAACTACTGGTCTCCAGCACCGTTTTCCGTTTTCTGTTGCTTTGATGCAGGTTCTTCTTTGTCTGTTTCTTCTCTTGCTCTTTTCACTGGTCCAGCTCCACCATTTTCAGCACGTCCTTCATCAGTATCAAATTTTGTTTTCTTGCCCTGAAACTGTACTTTTCCTTTAGCAGATCCAGGCTGGGGAGCTTTATTTCCTTTTCCTTTCCCTTTAAATCTGTGACCTTTTGATTTCCATTTGTTTAAGGATTCTTGTTGATCTTCTATGATTTTTTTCAAAGCTTCTTTCTCCACCTCTCCTTCCAGTACTTCCCACGTCACTTTTTTGTTCCTTAATTGTAGGGTATCATTGTTTGCATCTTTGGCTTTATCCAGTGCTTCCTTGGCTTTTTCTTTAAATAGAATTACTCCCTCTTTTGCTCCTCTGGCAAAGTCTATCCATTTTATTTCACCATGATTTGAGAAAAGGATGTGCAAATCTTCTCTACACGTCTGATCATCTAAGTCACCTGAGAACTTCAGCAAGCAACCAATCTTTTCTTCTAGAGATTTCATTTCAGCATTTTCTGCTAACTTCTGTTTTTCTTCTTGCTCTTGTGTAGCTCTTAATGTAGCTTCTACTCTATTTTGCTTTCTTTCTTCATTTTTCTTTTCAACATAATCTTCCTTAAAATGTATTAGCAAGTCTGTGTCTTTATACTTCTGGCCCAGAGTTTCTACAAACTTCTTAGCAGATTCATTGTTACCAAACACAGCAAATATTGATCCCTTAAATGCTTTGTGTAATGTTCTTCTCATCTGGATATCTAGTACTTGATCTTTATTTTCTAGCCATTCTTTGATATCATCGAGGGTTGCATCCGTTGGGAAGCCTTTAATATAAACAGATCTGTTTTTTACATCATTTTTATACTCATCAGTCACTTCAGGGAGGGGCTTGTTTGGAGAGCTTCTGATTTTAGTTTTATCTTCACTGATTTCCATGAGTTCCGCTTTAGATTTGCTCAATGCTTCAACTATTACATTAAAGTCTGTTGTTAGGCGATTGGGCCTGTTGAATTTTATCATTATTTCCAAGGGTACCCAGCCTTCATCCAATTTGATCTGTTCCTTAAAAAATTTGTCCCGTGGCAAATTGAAGTCTCCAAAATAATACTCAATTTGATGACAGATTTTGGCCTCCAGAGCGGCTAGTTTTTCATTATCACCATTTTCAGCCATTGTGGCTAATCTTTAAGGCCGTGGTCCCGCTCGCGCACCACAGGTTCACTAACAACAACGAAGACCTCCCCACTCCTCTCAGCCCTCCGGCCTAACTAACGCGCTCAAAGCAGATGGGCCCCCTCCCAGCAGTCCTTGCAGGCCCAGTGGGCGTGGTTACGGAGCATTCTCCTGAGGAAAACTTTTAAAAAATAAAAGAACAATGTTGCGAATGGCCGTGGTATACATACGTGGCCCTTGGGTCAGGGGTGAGATGACCACGCGGGTTCATGATCAGTTCAACAGGAGCAAAACACACTCCTTCCCCGGAAAGGTGCCAGCAGCCTCGACTCACCAGGGTGTGCAGAGGGGCTCGTCAGGGAGCAGAGCAGGAGCCTTGAACCCAGGGCCTTCCCAGGAGGACAGAGGCCCCCCTCGTACACAGCCCGCCTGCTCTGTGCAGAGAGGATGTGAAGCTCACAGTGTCCTCCTGAATTCCAGCATCGCCGAGTTTTATCACTACTCCTTGGGCAGCGAGGGCCTCCGACTTACCTTAGAAGAGCAGAGGCCCGAGAAGCTAAAGGCCTCTGGGCAAAGCTCACTTCACTTACGTGCGGAGAAGACAGTGCGGCTCTCAGCAGCGACCCCCGCCTGGGCTGAGCCCTCACCCGTGCTGTCCCATAGATGCACACGGTGAGTCCCGACTCAAAGGCAAGTGTGCAGAGCGAGAAAGCTGAACGTGGCTTTAACGCCACTCAATTATATAGTTTTCGACAGCAGAGAAGGACTAAAATACTAGGACTCTCATCTGTTGTTTAAAAATCCATCCAGATAGAAAACGTGAAGCGCAGACCCTCGAGCCGCTGCGACCGGCTCCTTGCTAGAGAGGAGTCGCAAACACGGGAGAGACGTCTCTGCCCTTTAGTTCTTTGATGCTGAGAAAATCTGCTCGGTGCCTGCTTGGGATCAGAGCGAGTTGACACCTGCCCTAGAGCTACATGCAGTCTAGATGACGTGCTTCTCGTGAGGAAGCGGAAGTCCACAAACAAAAGTCCCCTTACGTCTAGAGTCCCCCAGTGGCAGGTAGGACAGCAGTTGCCAGGGATGCACTGCTGGTGGGAGGAACAGGGAGACACCAGCCCAAGTCTCGGTTTTGCACGATGAATATGTTCTGCAGTGTATCGTGCAGTAGCGCACTGAGTGACTGCGGTTAATAACGTCGCATGGTATTGTGCATCGTATACACGAAAACTGTTAGGGGATTAGACCTTAAATGTTCTTAGCACACAGGTAAAGCATAAGTTTTTGAGGCGATGGACATTTTTTCCCCATTAAGTTTATTGGTACAAATTAGGTATAAAATACAGTTACATTCATCATTGGGATCTTGTACCATTACATGAGCATCTTGGTTCTTTTTTATTTCCCCTTCCCTTGCCCTCCCTTCACCCCCTCCACCCTTCCCTATTTGCAAAGATTTTGTTTCCATTTTTTTCCTTT